AAGTAAAATACTCTAACAAACATAGTGTAAGCTTATTCTGATGCGAGTAAATACTCTAACAAACATAGTGTAAGCTTATTCTGATGCAAGTAAAATACTCTAACAAACATAGTGTAAGCTTATTCTGATGCAAGTAAATACTCTAACACTCCTTTCTCATTATGGTAGTTCGATTTAAATGTTTTTATCGTTAGTAAGAGCTTTGTTTTAAGCTGTCGTTAATTTCCTGTGTTTAATATTCATACCTACCACCCCCAAATGTCTCAGCGGTAAGTTTGCAGGCTTACGATATTAAAAATCGGGTTTTGATGCCCGTGGTGGGCAGTGCGCAGATAGCTCGTTATGTAGCTTTGTACTTAACATCAACTAATCAACCAACCGTACCTACATCGAAATGCTTAAGTATCTCCAGTCAACTAATAAAAACTCAGATGTAAATCTTGTGAAACAGTTTGTCTTAAGAGTTGCATTGTCTTTGTACTGATTCAATGGCACTTTTTTGGTAATTGATTGGATGTTTTTTGTTTCTGATTTTTTCAGTGTTTTATATTAACGTTTTCCTGCTCCAACACAATGAAACGTAAACCGTTCATCTCCAATTCTTTCACTAAAAGGAACTGCTATTCAGCTTCGAAGAACCCACTATACAACGTAGAGATTCAAGTAAGTTTTTCATTTTTAACGTTAGGTGTCGCTATAAACAACCTAAGAAAATTCTAATAAAAAAAAATGTATCATTTCAAAACGTTCCCAAGTCGGCCAATTTGAAACTTACGGATTTACGGCGCTAAAATCCTGGATTCTGTTCCCCATGGTATATAATGCGCAAACAAGCCTACTGTTTAACTTTGTGCTAAATCAAACAAATATTTTTAGAATTCTGAGAACAGGCAACATTGTTGTGTTTTTTCTTGTGGTGTAAGAGAGACGGTACATGCTCAACAACCATTTGTGTACAGCAGTTCAAAAGAGCCCGATAATTATCTTAATAACTGTCGTTTTCCTCAACATAAGCTCAAATAAAATGTTAATTAATGTTCTAAGAACTATACGTAAATCATTAGTTTTAACCTTCTCAAGTATCATTTTTGCCCAGGGGATAATACCCTGAATTGTAATAGAAAATCGTGATTTGTTTTTTGTAATTTTGTACTTAAGAGTCTTTCTGATGTTAGCTTATATATATAGTACATTAACAGCGTAAAAAACAGTAATCCAGTCACGCACCCGTATTATAATAAAGCAATCTTCAGATTAGCGTACGTGGAATGACAATATTAATTCTCTTTCAAATGTTTCAAAATGTTTGTAAATTTGAAGTGAAATTTAAAAAAAAAGGCAGATGCCTATCGAATAGAAAGTTTTAATAATTATTGTGTTTTTCTGTATTTATAATTAAACACAATGCTACAAAATAAGCTATCTATACTGTGCCCACCACGTGTACCGAAACCGGATAATTAGTTATATAAACCCACAGAGTGGACTATTATATTAGCCATTCTTTCTTATTTTTATAAAGTACAAGTTGAAACATCCGTCAAGTGACGGAAAATGTTTCAACTTAATTAAAATAACGTAAGTTTAACATCAATCATATATTTCAAAGTAATAACTTGAACTTTATCTCAAAATGTTAAAATTATAACAAAGCTTCTTCATAAACAACATTTACAGTTTGTTTTCCCTCTATCAATAAATAAAGATTTTGTGGTGATCCCACTCTTGAACACCCTGCATCTCATTGACCATGAGAAAAGCGTGGTTGTTGGAGAAACAATCCAGCAACCCTCATACTTTGACCTTGAATCCTTTTAGTGCATTCCACATTGTCTAAAGCGTCAACCTGCCAAGACTGTTTGAAATTGACTCAATGCGTTGGGAGTAATTAACCATCAGACTTTACAAAATAGAAATAGGTGTTAAGTTCAATTTTGATCCCCTTAGGCCATTCCCCATAGTGCATAGTGTTTACACACAAATTTTGGTTGAGATTGGCCCAATAGGCTCGGCGGAGTTAGGGTGAAAACAAACACACATTTCTTTATAGAGAGAGGTGAAAAATCCACATTGAAAAGAATTAGAATTATTATAACTTAAAACATACAAAATACTCTTATCTTTTGGACTAAAATAAGAAACCGACAGTTTCCTTGAAAATACCTAGGAAAACACATAGGATCAATAAACCAATTAAACACAAAAAATAAGAAACCCCTATTACTCGAGCAGTTTCGAAAGGTTCACGTTTCAACAGTGATAGTTTCAAAAACAACGTAAACTATATGAAATGTAATATAGATACATTTAGGTTTCAATTTTAGATGAAAAGAAACCTATTATTGTACAAAACAATAAACCTTGTTTACTGTATAAAAACAGTTTTAATCTTCTAATTTTTAAAGGAAAGTTCAGATCATAGAATAGTTTCTGCAAAAGCTCTCAACCAATCACAAACAGTTTTACATTATTACGTGAAAGTTATCAAATATAGAAGTTTACCAAATTGAATCACTCGTGGCATCATCAATTTTATCCCCGTTTTTGTCAAACCATTTGTCGATGGTCAAGGTATCATCTGTGTCATGGGCTGACTCATAGTTGGTCACAGTCCTGCTGGGTAGGCCCAAGGCTCGAGACACTAGTAAACGGAATTTGATAAAAAGAAATACTTGTATCGACAAAACGTTTAAAAGATCGACTGACACCGTACTATTTCATATATATCTCCCTCAATGCTTATTTCGTCTAGCAAAAGACAAATTATTTCTTCAAGTGATTATTTCAAAAAATTATGTTTCAGATATTCAACTTAAGATAACTTGGTTCTAAACATTGCAGTCTATACAACCAGCTGGCTTGTAATATTCTTTTCGAAAACATTTTTTTAACTAATTTGATTCTTCTGACTTACGTATCAGATTAACCTTTTAAGAATATCATGAGATGAGGCGGAAATAATCCATATAAATTGTATAAATAACGTAAGCCTCAATAGAGATTATTATAACTGTTACGTTATAATTACTAAATACATTTGAATGCGTTTATTTGGTAGTTTTCTAAATCACACTGGTCAACATTATTTATTAGGGTTCATTGAAACGACAGACATTAGCCTCTATTGTTTGATAGAGTACCAAGTACATCCAAGTTTACCAAAATTATGAACTTTAACATCAGAATGACACCGAAAATAAAATATAATTGAACTTTTCAATAAACAAAAAGTGTTAAAAAATGCTTGTAACCTTATTGTGGAGCCTCATAACGCGCGAAAACCTGGTATCGACTTTATTCATCGGAGAACTGAAAATTTTGGTATCCATTGATTTGTTTGTATAAGACATTTAACCCCACACAAGCTACATGCTTACATTACGTGTAAGATTACTATTTTTGTTATATGTAAGATCCAGGAGTTGATACAATGGATTAAAACTTGATAACATTGTTTTTTCTAACGTTAACGAAAAAAAAAAACACTCATGTGACAATGAATTAATTATCTCTGAAATTTGATTTCTGAGGATTATACTTACTAAAGCCCCCCCCCCGTGGCACAGCGGTATGTCTGCAGACTTACAACGCTAGAATCCGGGTTTCGATACTCGTGGTGGGCAGAGCACAGATAGCCCATTGTGTAGCTTTGTGTTTAATTACAAACAACAGCAACTACTTACTAAAGTAACATTGTACAGTATATTCTAAATCGTAAATATTGATCAACCAATAGGTGTTCACAGACTATCGTAACATATTATGCATTCTGTCGATTGGAAAAGTTTAGTTACACAGTAAAAACAAAAAACAGGACTTGTGTAAAAACAGTACACGTTTTCTTTTGTTGTGTGTTTGAATCGCTACAACACAAGTTACATATAACGTCATCATCGTGGGCGAACGGAACTGAACAAAAAGGTGTTTGGTGAAAAAAAACTGTTACATTTTATACAATCTACAAACACATAATAATATTAGAAAACTTAGGGATTTTGTAACATAAATTAAAATTCAAACACAGTATAACGATAATCATTTAAAATTACCTTAGATGGAGGGCTATTCATTTCCACCATTTTGCCACTCCTGAACTGGTTCAAACCAGAACTCGTCATAAAAATGCGACTTCCTAACAAAACAATGTATTCAAACAAAGAATTTTGAATTAAAAATCGTAACTTATTGGAAAAGATGTGTTTGTATCGCTACATCATTTACGAGTGATATTGTTTACACAATTCTTTGTTTCGCGAACACAGTCTGTTTTGTTGCATTCCTTCATGACCTATTTTGTCTGTAGAACAAAGACATCTTTTAACTTTTTACACACAAACACACACACACACCTCTTGAAATCTGTGTTAATTTTTTTACTTACCAGTGTTTGATACTCCAGCAAACACCCAACACTGTCCATATTTCACTGGAACTCCTCCAGTTTTCAGGTATTGTTCCAAGATGGCAGAACTTCCAGTCCACATCCAAGGTGCAACACCATCGTCATAAGGCTCTTGCCATCTTCCTTCTAGTACCCCTTTGTCGTCTATGTTGTTTATCTCAATTTCAAAAACAATTCTATTTAGTTATTAAATTCCACCAAAGTTTTTTTTTAACAATACATACTTTGAACCGACAAAAACCATTATTGAATAACATGGCCTAACTTTTTATCCAACTGCTTCTTAATTTTTACGGAATATTACTCACTAAAGGTGGCGCTGCAGTTCTTTAGTAAAGTTATTGCTATGGGTACAATCAATAAGTTGGCGTTGACGTATAACATGTCTCGCTTAGCACTTTTCTCTTATAACTCACCCACAGTTACAGGACCATCGAATCCACGGTCCAGTACATTATCTTCTTGGCCACGTCTGGCCCAATAATCATATCACGATTTGCTACTAATTGGATATTGGATACTAATATAACAGAAACCAGTGTTTCATTTCTTTTGTAAATCTTCACATACGTTTGGTATTGTCTCAGATGTGTAACGAAAGCTAAGAAAAAACAAGATCACAACAGTAGCTGACTTCGTTCCTTTAATATGATCCCATTAAAGTATGGACTTTTCACGATGAACCTGTATTTTTCTAACAATGTTCATACACATTTCTTAGTGATGTTAAGTAAAGATTAACTTACCATCGCAGATATAGCTCGGACTACTTTAATTGGGTTCGACCTAGCCGTGTAGTCAAGTCCAGAACGTTCCAGGATCAACATACAGGCTGGAAGCACTGAATCTGTAAACTGAGTTAACACATTGATGTTGTCAGTATTATTTACTATGGAGATTTAGACATGTTATTAATATATATATATATATTGAAATATTTGCCCCATATCGATTATGATACCATTACCAGTAATGTTTGAATGCAGGTAATAAAGAGCTTCGAAATAATACATTTAAGACAGTTATACATACGTAAACTAGTCTTAATAAAATAAATACTGGTTTTGACTAGTTCTGTTGACTTCATCACATATTCAAAGCAAATATTCATACAGCGTAATTTAATGCTATTAGTGGAAATCACTGACAAAGTCAAAGGTATGGATGCTATTTACAGTTTTGTAAAGCTCAGATGGATGATCTGTAAAATTCACCAAGAAACAAAATAAAGATATTCACTTTCTATAACATGGTTCTCCGTTACAAATATGGAAGTCAGTAACTCTAGGGCTTCTTAATTTAAACGAATCGTTGTCATGGATAGTAAGTAACCTATACGATCATTTAAGCCTGATTTGTAATGAATTAGTAATGTATGTTTTTAATTACTAATTTATTTTATCCTATTTCGGTTGCTCATTTGCTGCAATCTTCATGCGAGAAATTCCAGAGAGGGCCGGCTATTTTCGTAGTAGTTAGGATTCGATCCTGAGTCTTCTTTAAAGAGAAGTGGGCATGCTTTCCACTCGTCTGGTGTCTATCCCATTAATACTTGAATCAATGAACTTCTATGAATATTTGCAAGAGGATTATCCAGGTTTTGCTTGACTTCTAAGCTAGGTTTACCGAGTGTGTTATCAATCATACGAGTTTAGAAGATTTCTTTTGTCTTTCCTGTTTTTCGTGTGTAATTCATACAAAGGGTTGAGTAAGTTATGTTAGATCGATTTTGAATATGCGTCACTAAGTCACGTATCATTCATATTCTGTATAACGTCATGGTGGTACAGATTGTATCAGAACTACATTCTGACATTGTTCGGCGTTACACAAGTAGTGTTATTACACTGAAAATTGATCGGTTTTGGAAAGGGTACACAACAGCTCCTTCCGATGCAAAATATTCATACACAGGTCATAAAGATGTGTTCAGATACTGGATCTAGAATTTCTAAGACGGGGATATTGATATCCCTTGTACTTAATAATGTTTGAAAATACACAACAGCTCCTTCCGATGCAAAATATTCATACACAGGTCATAAAGAAGTGTTCAGATACTGGAGCCAGGATTTCCAAGACGGGGATATTGATATCCCTTGTACTTAATAATGTTTGAAAACAAAGAAATAGAAGTCAACTTGGGAAAAGCAGGACCATCCAGAAAATGATCCGCAAGAAGTCGAACTACAACCATGGTAAGCGGCATTTTCAAATAGGTGAAAATCCACGAGCCCAAAAATCAGTGGCAAAAGCAGTCCACGTGTCCCAGAAAACGCACCAAAACATATTTAAGAAGGATCTTCGTTTAGGAAAGTGTACACAAGTTGTGTCCAGGACATACTTGTTAAATCGTCGAATACCTCGAGCAGCTGGCGAAGGAGATAGTATTTAAGCAATTGATTGCATCCCACGTATTCATTAACGTACCAACATTGAGATAGCACAAATACTCAAAGCTGTTCACCGTGTTTTGTAAGGTTACCATGGTTGTGCTTCGAGTTCTCAACATGAATATGTGTTACCTGCTAATGGTGATATTACATCTACAAGATGTATAACTAATGGATGGCATGGTGAATCCTTAAAGTTGGATGGAGAGGATATTGTGAATTCTTGTAAATACTGATAGACCATGACACCGTGTGCGTGCGTGCGCGATATACATAACTGTTAAAAGCACGTGAGGAAATACTTCTGTTAATTTGCTAAGACTGTTTAGCAAGAGTATTACTAAACGTATTACAAATTGTAAGTTACATAAAAAGAAATAAAATGATTTTGTATTAAAATGAAAAACAACTTTTCTTCGTGTCAAAATTTAAAGTTTGGTTTTTAAATAGTACACACAAACAGTCCTCAGGTTCCCAAAGATTTGTTGTAATATTGGCAAACAGGGTCGAGTTCTCAAGAATTTATATATATCATAGAGAACAACGAGTTCCAATCTGGTTGAATTTTACAAGTTAATTATATATTATGGAGAACAACGAGTTCCAATCTGGTTGAATTTTACAAATTAATTGTATATTATGGAGAACAACGAATTCCAATCTGGTTGAATTTTACAAGTTATTTGGAGTCAGATGATGCGATCTTCGTGTTTGGTTATGTAAAGGTTCCCAAGATCTTCGTGTTTGGTTAAGTAAAGGTTCCCAACACGTGTATAACATGTTGGGAGAGAAATAGTGCATGCCAGTAGAACACGTGATAACTTAAGAATGAACAATTTATGTTAAATTAAATGCTCATTAGATTATAATTTCATTTTTTAACTGTTGATGCAGATGGGTCCAGTTCATAGTATTCACATAAATATGGTAAAAAGTTAAAGTATAAACATCTTACTTCATAAAATTTTGTTGCTCCTAAACAGATTTTACTATCTATCATGCATGTTAAATTTACTTTTGAGGCTATAATTAATTTTAAAAATTAGAAACTGTTCTGTTACTTGGTATCGTCGATTGTATTGACTATCAGTTTAGCTCATATAGGCAGATATTCTCGTTGACGTAACACAGGGCAGCGAGGTATTTCTCATTTCAATAAGCAGGAAATGAATGAATACCAGCAAAAATAAATAATAACAAAAATGAGGTTAGGTCATTACCCTGGGGATAATTTATCAAGTGATTCAACGGCTTGAGAACGATATTATTGAACGAAAATAAATGACTCGGAGGACCAGTTTACAGTTTGAAAACTTTGCCACACTAAGAACATTCGGAAATAATGAGACGTTAAACCTTGTCTTGCATTTAATATCACTTGTGAAACAGAAATTTTTAAAACACTTTGGCATATGTATCTACGGATTACAAAGATGGCGGCCGTGTAGCCTAAATCATGAAAGAGACATCACTTAAAAGTTGCAAAATAATATTTCGTAATTGCTTTGTTTGTACACATGTACATGGGTACGATTATGTACGTAACAAATTTTACTTATACATGCATTGTTTTAATCTCAAATAAATGGTTTTTATTATAAATATCAGTTTATAAACAGGGAAAGCTTATTTGGTTGAATGATGTACAATCATAAACACTGCATTATTAAGCATCTTATGTTGTTTACAAAAGTGGGAGGTGTCTAAGCATGCTCGTTCATTGGAGTGAAAACTGTACAATTGGCTACGGAAAAGCCACTTGTCTTACACTAATAAAGCATTTACACGTACCCGAGACCTAACAATTACGTACAAATAAATATACATTTTCGTTAGAGATTTGGCGCTTCTGCTGTTTGCCTGTAGAATGATGTATAGAAACTAAGTCGCTTCAAAAACAGCTAATAAATTTGAAAAAAAATTACTCCATCCACCTTAAGCTATCGACTCCATATTTTATTCGCAAAACTTGGACCATAAAAATTACAATAAAACTACCAGGTGATGCATTGAATATCGTTTACAATATTCAAGACTTTAGTTAGTTTTTTTTTAATGCTGAAAACTAAGTAAAGAAAAGCAGAAATGAAGGAGCTTTGTCTTCCAAGTGCTAAAGATGTCATGTTTATTTTGCAGCTCCTAAAACATTAATGATATACAAGTATTGGTATATTGGATATAAACTACTGAGCAAGTAAGTTACAGGAAGATGGGATAAACTCATTAAAAAATTAATTTGGGTTACCTGTCCAAAAATCCAGCGTCGTCCAACCGGTTGTTTGAAGGAACCAGTGAAAATCTTTCCGACATCATTCAGAACATATTCCTTTCTCTTTAGTTCGTCTTCCATGTACACTGAATCCTCTGATATCAGAACAGAACGGATAGATTAAATATGGTCTGTTTGAATACCAATCTTATAATTACAATTTGTAATTAACGATTTATTATTCAGTATTTGTTTTTATACTCAATAAATTGGTCACCAAATTAAGTTGTTTTCGTAGCATTTCTCATCTAGTTATGACTATGTTGAAGGTAAACCTTTTATTTACAGGTGTGAACGTCAGACTAGAATTTAAATTATCATTTTCAAGTAAAACCACAAGTTGATTTAGTAAGTATGATATGAAAAATAACAGAATGGTTTAGAGACTTAAGTAAGCACATTGACAATATATCGGTGGTTACCCGCACCTCATAGGTTTTATAATACGCCGATATATACTAAACTATTATGTCGACATTACTTAATCCCCCCACCCCCACCCTCAACGTTAAATTATATTCCATCTTGTGTTCTGAGGGCAAGCCATGGCCTAGTGACTAAAGTGGCGGGCTACTGATCGAAAAGTCCAACGCACGAGTCGCGATGCCTCTTAAGACGCTCTGCGCTTTTAACTTTGAAGGCGTATAATGTGGAAGTCAATTTCACTATCTGGTTAAAAGTGAATGAGTGGGCGGCGTGTGTCGCTGACAGATTGCCTCTTTTCTGGTTAGCACTTCTGAATTACGAGTGGTTATGCCTAAATATTGGGGGAGAGGGGGTGGTCTCCGAGCTGGTATTTTAGTCAATGCATCTTACAAGGTTCTGTTCAAGTTATAAATGCCAAACAATAAGATCACAACCGTCAATTAGGTTAACTTGCTTCTAACCACAAACTTACCTTTACACCATGGATTAAACAGTACATATAAATTATCTTTGCATTCGTGAGTGACTGGAGACAAATTTGGTTGGCCTCTGGAAATCAACTGGGTAATAACTTTCATTTTCCAAACTCCAACTGCAACAGTAGCAGGAATCTGTATTTGAAGAGTGATCACAGCGCCATCGTGGTGGTGTAGTCGAACGTCCCATTGGGCTTTATCCTTAGTAAAGGAGTCGCTGCCAGAGACAGGCAACATTACCAAAGTGCCTTTAGTAATTAGTGGTTGTGGCCCTGAAAAATAAGAGGATACACACTGCTATACTACGATATGCCGTGAAACTAAACTGGACTTAGCGTGCCATATACTCCACAAAATTCCAAAAGGAGTTTTTTTTTTGGTGGTTTCCCATCCATCTAGAAGTATGAAATGTTATTGGTTTACAAATGTCGGAAGAGAAATGTGGCAAAATTTTAACTGCACTGAGACGACCAGAAAGGAAATATTTGAAATATCTTTTTCTACTTTTCGAAGAAATTTGGGATAATTCGAGTTTAGTGGATAATCTATAGTCTTAAAAGAAGATCTCACTCAACGGGTGGAAAATTAACATCCAGTAGTGACAATAATAACCAGTAATACTATGGATGGTTATTGCCTTTACAAAGAATCATCCGTTGTCATGAGAACATCAACTACAGTAGTTTGCACTGTCGGAACAATATCAATAAAATAGTGTAACGAGTACATTTTTCTCATGATTAGTCACCATTGATTAAAAAGTTGTTTTTTTAATAAAAAGATACAAAATGTGCTATCCGCATTCTTTTCACTTTTAGGAATCGAACGACAGATTTTAGTGTTACAAGCTTAGGATCAAACGGCTTTTTCCAGGTGAAATATAGTATCGCCAGTTGGAAAATGTACCATTAAGATTTTTAAAACTTTTCATTTTTATCGTTCTGTAAACTAAATTGTTTTTCAACTCACCAAAACCAATTTCCAGCTTCAGACGGTCTTGCTGTGGATTGTAGTTTCTTTTAAATCGAATTGCTAAGTAAAAAGGCTGACCACGACGAAGAATCAGGGCAGGCTTGACACCTTCCACAAGATCATACATGAAAGTGTTGTGTTCGCGAGCATTATCCCTTGGATAAAATTCCACGGTGTCCACTTCTATTGCTGATGGACCACCTAAAACAGCCGAAAAGAAATTGTAGCAATAAAACTACTGGATTTATAAACCAAAGACTTCATGATTATCCTTCTACATATTTTTCTTCTTCTTCCAAATAAATCTGCAAGTTTTTAGAATTCATTACCCTGAGTATTATACACAAGTTTTTAAAATTGTGAACGCTTTTTTCTGAACTGGAAAAGTAGGATTATAATTAATTATATTTGTCATAAGACTGTAATATCGGGCCTATTTTATTTATCAACGACGCGTTTCGCTCAATACAGAATTCATCAGGCCAACTAGGATACAAGAAATACCGTAGTGGTCGAAACATTATATATAACATTTGTTTCAACAATAAGAACAAATTCTTATGATATGAACAAGCGAACTCTTGTAAAACTGAGAGGGTAGAAATTTCCTCTTTATAAATATCTTAATAAATTTCACAATCACGATAACTTTCAACCAGGGTCGTCATCCTAAATGACAGTTTCTGTAAGACGTTTCTAGTCGAATCGAATTAACACGTATAGACGTACGGGCATGCAAAATAAATCACCATACGTTATACTTTGCTTATAAAAGCCTGACTATTTTGACAATTAATGCAAATGAAGTAGTTACCGAAAGTAAGCTTTCGAAATACTTCAGGCTTTTTTTATCATTTTGGTTTGATATTACAATTTATTAACATTTAAAGGTGCTTTTTTTACAGAAATATAATTCTGATTCAGTGGTGACGTAGGTGAATAAACTTGACTTAGTAACATACACGTACTTGTTGTACTTAGTTTAATTTACTGCTACTACCATCTGCAACATTTTGAGGCCATATTAACAACTGAGCAATCAGACAACTTCAATGCTTGTGTATTAACTTTGTTTTTTCAAGACCATCATTTTTGAGAAATCTAAATTACATTAAAATACGGACACTCGAGATTCGCACTTTCGCTTGGATTTAACTAACAAATTGGATCAATGACACTTAATACTGAAGTGAACAAGCCACTCCAACACCAGAAAATTAACGTTTAATATTAGATCATGTCAAATGTTTCAACAAAAGCGTAATAAACAAAGTATAAATTAGTAATCGTAATTACAAAACATGAAATCTGACAACGAGTGCTATCCGAAAATAGGTCTCATTGAGGATGAATTGAAAACGAATGGTTAATGTAAGGTTAAGAATTAAGTGATCTTTCATCGGACCACAGGGTGCTGATAGAAGCACCTTCTGAGATCATCGGACCACAGGGTGCTGATAGAAGCACCTCTGAGATCACCGATTATCACTCCACTAAGTTTCACACCCTTTAAAACTTCACTTAAATTACAGCTATATGTATATCTCCAACCCTTGTCATAAACAATGTTGTTCATAGTGGGTATTTAATAGATCAGATATATTAGTTCTCGCTATTTAACGTGTATGATATTTGAAAATGGGAAAACGCGTATAACACAGTATTACGCGAACAAAAATGAAACTTAAACACTCACCGTCAAGTCGGTCAAGTCCCAGTCTTTCCAGTCGCCTCCTCTCGTACTCCTCTCGCATTTTCTCCAAGAGATCTCGCATGTAGTCATTGTACCGTTCCGAGCTATACCTAGGAGAACTTCTACCATTACTGGTAATCATATTACCGGGCATGGTACCCGTGCTACCACGTGTTCTTCCGTAACCATACATGGTTCTTTGTTCTTGTTAACCTGGAAAAACAAAAAATATTAAGTTTCAAATTACTTGTAAATATTGGTACAAAAGTCGGTATATTTAGAAAAGTTTTAAATGGGGAACAGTTTAACACAAGTTGTTTCCAAGTGGCCATCGTGAAATAGTCAATTTCCTAATGATTAAACCTTCATTATGAAAGACAAATAAATCCTTAGATTTCTTAAAGTGAATCTGAACGTTTTATTAGACATATAACATTAAGTTTGCTTAGCACCACACTTTCTCTACCACTTAACATCACATTGTTTATATACAAATAGCTTTTTAGATGGACATTGTTGACCTGTCAAACTGAGAAGAGAAATTTGACGAATCTTCTCTTTGGCAGCGACCACAAAGATACGAGAAGAAAATAGGAACTCTTGTTTTAGATCGCAGCTTCGCAAGCGAAATCTACAACCAACACTGCTCTAGCTTCGCAAGCTAAATCTACAACCAACACTGCTCTAGCTTCGCAAGCTAAATCTACAACCAACACTGCTCTAGCTTCACAAGCTAAATCTACAACCAACACTGCTCTAGCTTCACAAGCTAAATCTACAACCAACACTGCTCTAGCTTCACAAGCTAAATCTACAACCAACACTGCTCTAGCTTCACAAGCTAAATCTACAACCAACACTGCTCTAGCTTCACAAGCTAAATCTACAACCAACATTGTTCTAGCTTCACAAGCTAAATCTACAACCAACATTGTTCTAGCTTCACAACCTAAAAGTAAAATCTATAATTAATATTGTTCTAGTTGGGCACCTTCACAATTTCTACGTCATGCTAGCTTGACGCTATACGTGGGTACTATATTATCACAAGATTGAAAGAATTTTGTACTATTTTAGATATCGTGGATCATTCGGTTAGGTGGCTGGACTTTGAATACGAGGGTTCATAGTTTCCGTTGTCGCCAAAACGGCCAGTTTAGGGCCACGTGCGAGTTACAAGAATGACGACTAAATCCCACTATTCTGCTTTCAGGCACGAGTAACCAAAGATCTTGGGATGTGGGATGTTGGCCGACTTGCCTTTTAGTTTATTAGGTTAAAATTGGGGACGGTTCTAAACAAATTTTTAACTTTGCTAGAAAATTCTAAACCATTCGACACGGTAAGTTAAAGTAAAGGCTAAAACTTGTATCTACACATTAAAAGAAACAAATGGTACCGGAAATGGCTTTGTTTGTTTGTTTTTGAATTTCGCGCAAAGCTACACGAGGGCTATCTGCGCTAGCCGTCCCTAATTTAGCAAAGACTAGAGGGAAGGCAGCTAGTAATCAACACCCACCGCCAACTCTTGGACTACTCTTACCAACGAATAGCGGGATTGACCGTCACATTTTAACGACCCCACGGCTAAAAGGGGCGAGCATGTTTGGTGGGACGGGGATTCGAACCCACGACCCTCAGATTGCGAGTCGAGTGCCCTAAACACCTGACCATGCAGAGCCTCCGGAAATTGCATTAATGTGATCTCTGTCGAAGAAATCCGTTAGGATAAATCAGGTGATCCGTTTAATTTCCGTTGATATGCAATTGTTTTTCTAATTTTCATCGATATTGCCTTTTCACAAAGGGACCACTTGGTACTTCAACTTTAAAGTCTGTCCTCACACACTCACCCTTCAGAAAATTTGTACAAATTTAACTTCAACCCTTTTTTTTTGTGAAATTATAGATACCCCATTTTAAAATCGTGCCCATTTTTTTTACTACTACAAACAGCAGCTCGTTCATCAAGTTCATCACCATGTTAGAAAAACTGAGCTCGCAGATTATCCAGGAGATCTATGGAGTAAAAAATCTTTGGTTTCTTTATGATGTATTCTGAAGACAACAGGACTTGAGTTTAAGCACTAGAAAAAGCTAGACTCCTTTATGACCAATTACTCTTAACTTTTCTTTTGAGAAAAATAAGTAACAGTAAAATATCTTAATCTATCTCCATAGAATAACTAACATTCATCCTAGTAGACCTTCTCGGAACCCTTTCCAACAAGTCATTGTCCTTTCTATTAAGGTAGAATTATCTTTTTTTTTGACTTGTAATGAATGTATATATAAATACATACAAAAAATTAACTTTACTAATAGCAACAGCACTGATTGAGTGACTTGCCCATCACTATGCCAAGATAATATTTTTCCTAGGGTTTTAAAAGGAGGCGAAATATCAATAAGCTATTTTTAAGCAGGTCAACAAACAACTGGCAGGATTAGAGTTGCTAATATTAGGCCTATTTTCAAATGCATGATAACGGTTCCCGTGGAAATTATAAACCACTTCTGTGGGGAGCCTAATATACAAGAGATTTGCAAAATCATTTAGTGAAATATGATAAAATAAACATGGATTCACCAATGGGAAATCGTGCCATACTAATCTTTTACTTTATTTAAAGGGTGTTACGTAACACTTAGATGTGGATTTGATGTACTTGGATTTAAAAAAAAACTTTTGGTAAGGTGCCTAGATGATTAGTTAAGGATTTAAACATATCTGTATGGGTTGAGTGAAGATGTTGAAATATAAAAAACGTAGATCAATCATGTCATGGTTTGAAAAAAAATAATTGGAAATTCACAATCTTACACTTTGTGTGGTTAGATATCTAAATTATCATAATTTGAATCACTCGGTAGATGAACTGGAGAAAGGGTTAGTTGAAATCGTAGTTTAAATGTATGAACTCGTACTAAAAACTACAGTTCAGCATTTCGAACGAATAAAATATTTTAGATTTGCATTTCCTTAGATATTTTGAACAGTGCGATTTTGTGAATTAGTGTGCGCTTCGAAAAAAAAGTGAGATAGTAACATCTGCAGGACATTTTCTTCTAACCCTAGATGTGTGAGAATATAACGTTAAAAGTTTAGCTATCTAATAGTTGAGAGTTTTATACATATTTTGAAATGAGGTTAGGATCTCAGGGCTACAAAACTAGTTAGGTTGCAGTCAGTGACTGACCAAGTTTTACTTTTACCAGCTTTTGATTGGATGAAACAGTACACAAGTATAGTGATAAAGAAAAGAACTGGATTTCTTTGTATTTAAAATCCTAATAACATAGTCCATGAGCGTCTGCAGAGATTTTCCCGGGGGAGTGGGGGGGGGGGTAAAGTAGTGTGAATCGAATAAAAAAAATTCATACACGGGGCGTGTATGCTGAATGAATAAAGAATTATGTTTCTCATTTTCCAGGTGGAGCAAGTGCCCCCTCTTGCCCCACCCCCGCAAACGCCCATGATAAAGTATTTCTAAAAAAAATTACTGCACTCTTATTTGAACCTTCAATCAATACTGAACATCTGTAAAGGATGTATTACATTTTTCTTTGATGTATTAGTTGATTTTAACACTATTTTTC